CCTTCCGGTCGTCCTCCGTCTCCTGGCAGGGGTCCTCGGGCGCTGCCTCCCACTTCCGCGCGGTCCGACTGCAGTTGCTCTCGCCGTACTCTGCGACTGTTGTCTCCTTCCGGTCGTCCTCCGGCACCTGCTCCTGGCAGAGGCCCACGCTGGCCGCCTGTGGCGGCTGCCCTTCTTGCTCGTGCTTCCTCTTTCTGCCTTTCCCTCTCGCGTTCTTCCTCTTGACGACACTCGAACCTGGCGCAGAAACCTGGCGCGGCTGCTTGATCACATGCAGTCAGGCAAGCAGCCCTTCTTACGACGTGCAGAGCATGCCTCTTCCGCGACCGACTCGAGGAAATCCGCAGCTAATGCAGGGTGCCATGGCCGGACCGAGTCGGCCGACGTTGGCTTACGATGGGTGTGCTCGCGGCCGGCAGGCGCACATTGCATAGCTATCCTGCCTCGGTTTGCTGCTGTGCGTTGCATGTGTGTGGACGTCTTGCGTTCTCGTCGTCGGAGTCATGGCTGAAAAACCATGCGGGACATGGGCGCAGCAGATCAAGACCACATGCATGGTAGCAATACATCGACGTCCGGCGTGTGGCCTTGTAGGTCTCGAGGGTGAAAGCCTGACCCAGGCCGAAATTCGTACGGACCTGGCGCCCCATGTGGTTGCGGATAAGCATGAAGTTTGGGTGGGTAGCCTTCCGGCCTCGCGTCTGTTCTGCCACTCCGGGAGAAAGCGTGCTAGTTCGGGCGCAGTGGCTCGATAGGCCAAGCGGGCCTGTCGGCCTCTGCCCGCCGCCCCGACTTCGTTTGCTACAAAGATAAGTACCTAGCATACGTTGACGGGTGCCCCAAGCACGAGGCAGAGGCTAAGTGCCTGGCAGCGGAAGGTGCACCATGGCCTCGGATGTCCTTTGCTCGAGTCGATGTAGTTACCTGGCAACCGCATGCACGTTCTGCTGTCCTGGGCGCTGTTCGTCGCCGACTACGACGCAGAGACAGAGGGTCGGCCGTTCCCCGCGGCGCGCGATCCTTCCACTTGGCCGGATGTGCTTGTACTCGTAAGTCCAGAACATCATGGCCATGGCGATCATGGTTTCGGGGCTATGTCGGGTTGTCGGGGCTTGTACTCGAGCAAAGTAGCTAGCGGGACTCATATTCTCGGCCTGTGTGCGACCCTTTGTTCGTCTATAGCGTCCAGTGTCGTGCGAACTTGTTCGTTCTACTCGCTGCGTGGAACCCGCGGTCGCACGTGCACCTTTTTGCTTGATCTCTCGCGGCGGCCGTGGCCGCCTTGGTCTGTCAGCCGGGCTGTGCTGGGCGCGACTCACTATGCTCGCCATGATCCGATCCCGTCCCAAACATGCTCCAGGCGTTTAGCGTACGAGTACACAGGTAGCGGCGCGTCCGTGTGGAAATGTTCCCCGCACATGGCGTGCTGCAGTGCATAGAAGTTGAACTGCATGCACCCCTTGCCGCCGCGCTGGTAAAGGGTGCTGCCCGCGCTGCGCTGGACTGTGAAGGCCTCGGCTGTTTGAAAAGCTGCCGCTTGCCAGAGATCCCTGAAGGACGGATAGTGGAACCACGCCAGGTGCTCCGAGTGCCATCCCATATCTTTCATCACCCACGCAAACGTCAGCTCTCCGGGCACTGTTTCCTCTGCGCTGCTCATACTGCGCAGCCAACGCCGGAGGACCTTCTCGGATGGGCAGGGGTGCTCTTGCACGAACCTGTGGAGAATTTTCTCCTCCCTGAGCACTTCGCGTCGCACTTGCGGACTGCACTTGCGCCAGGGGTCGGCCACTGCAAACGAGCCAATCGTCACCGGCTGTCGCGGAGATTGCGGCGGGATGGGGTTCCCGAAGTCCTCCTCGTCGCTGCTGCTCTGAAGTTGATCCCACTTGGAGTAGTCGATGGTCGACATGAAAGGCGACGGGTTCCGCGTGAAGCCCTGCGTGTGCTCTCCGATTGAAGCTGAAGCGGCTGCGAGATGCCCTGCTTGGGAGTAGACATGAACGGGCCGAGGCGGCTCCGCGCCTGCTCCTGCACCTGACGGCTTGTACGCTGTTTCTTGTCGAGCGGATTGCAGCTGTCCGTCTACGGGCTGAACACGACGCTATGTGACATCTTGCATTTGAAGGACGCCGTCCAGCCCTCTGTAGGTGAAAAAGACGACTACGTTCACTAGAGCGGGCCCGAGTTGGGTCCCTGGCAAGCGGGCGGCGGGCCTGGCCGAGTAGAAGAACTCGCTCTCTGATTCTTCCAGAAGGTCGCTCAAAGCTGCGCCCACGTCTCTTGTCGCTCTCGGCCATGCGTTCATCACCAGCACCGCTTCGCCGGGGGAGAACCCTCCGAGTCCGAAGTCGTCCATCCAATAGAGTAGATCCTCCACGGGACCCAAGGTCTGCAGCGGGTCCGACGGGTCTGGCGGAGACCAGTACTTCGTGCACCTGATGTTCACGGGAACGTTGAAGCCGGGGAAGCGCAGTTGTATAGTCCTCAAGGGTTCCATGACCCGGCGTAGCCTGGCTGCATCTGATAGAACGCGACGAGCCCACGCCAGTCTTCTCAGGGTCGGGGACCTGTCGACTTGCAACAGAAGGAGGATCTCCGCCGGCGTCAGCATCCGCCGCAGCAGCATGCCCGACTCCGCCTCCAGAAAGTACAGCAGAGTAGCCATGGTGCGCGCTCCGGACGAAATGTTGCTGCTGATCTTATGGCTGCAGCTGTCCCTGTGAGATATTTTCTGCAGGCAACGAGCGCGAGGGTGGGCTGCTTCCAGTGCAAGCAGGATGTTTTTAGCTGGTTGCATGCACGAGCAGATCGCCGGCTCTGCAGCTTCTCTCTAGTCCTATCTCACATTCTATGGATGTGTACCGACACGTGCCCTGCGAGGATGGTGGGCGCTGCACACACCCGAATCTCGCACAGCGTCTGTTGCGCTCGCGACGTCCCGGCTGGGCTGAGTACTGTCGGGGTTCCGGTGCTGACGTAGGGGTAGGGGTCTGCTGGCTCCGGTTCTACCTGCCATTCGTAGATAAACTCGTACCACAGTCGACAGGGAAAGCGATGCAGAAGGCAGCGCCGCTGCATGCTGGCCTGCCAGTCTCGCAGTGCCGCGGGCTCCCAGCGGTGAGACAGAGCGCTTTGTACGAATTCTGCCAGCTCGAGGTTCCGTCGCATCTCGCCTGAGCATGGTCTCTTGTGCATGTTCCTGCGAGTGCCTGCAATCTGGCTCAAGGCCTACGCCGAGGAGCTGACCGGCGTCGTACGCGGCTTCTGCGACGTCCGCCGTGTCGTCGTCTTCGGTTTCGCTTCTGCCGTCAAGGGTCCGTGGCGGTCGCGACTCCGTATCCGAGTGCGACGCCCTCGGCGAGATCAGGTCGCTGCTGCCTCGCATTCAGATGTCGTAGCATGACAGACCGGAGGCCGAAAGACCGCTGAGATAAAGGGGAGGAGGAAGGAAGGAGTGGAAGAGACGGACGGGAGAGAGAGAGGGAGAGAGACGGCAAGTGTGAGGAAACAGAGCGGAGAACGGAGAAGTGGTGGGGGCAGGAGCGTTCGTCGGAGATGAGCACTGGCTCCGGTCCGATGAGGTGGCGGCGGTGCTCTGCTTGATTCACGAGGTGGTGCCGCTCCGGTGGTGCACCGTCTGCTGGGTCCTGCAGCACTGGCACGGCTTGCGTCTGCTCCTTGAACTTAGCCCGTCCGCCACATTCGAACGGTCCCGGTCTATGCAGCGGGTCTGTACGCCCGTCGCATGCCGTTTCTGTCTTGCTGCTGACCATGCTGCGTCAACTCCTCATAGGGGTCGTCGTGGTCCTGTCTGCAGCGACGACCTATGCGACACGAACATGGCCGGGTGTTCGAGTCTGTCCTCCTGCACGTCCGCCCAGGCCTGTCTGCCCGAGAAAACCAGCATTGCTCGTTGGCGGTTGCTCGGGCGCCGGATGGCACAACCTACGATTCTCCGCAGCGGTGCTGTGTCGTGGGTGGCACATGCATGCTTCGTATTCCCATGGCTTATCCGTGCGGATCCTATGGACGTGCCTTCTTTTCCCGCGCGGGCGGTATGGGTCTTTCCTGAAGCAGGCTTCGGTTGGTTCGCCCGTCCTCCTGACGAGGCTCGTAGTGCGATGCCGGCTCGCCTCACTCGATGTCCTCGGCGTTACGCTCGTCTGCCTGGTCCCTTGTCCGGATCGAAGGCTCTGCCTCTGCCGGGTCTTCCGTGCCGGCTGCCAGTGGCAACGGGCTGTCTCCGGCACCGAACCCCAGTGGTACGCCCTCGCCAGGCTTCGTGTCCTGCGCTTGCTCCAGGGTTCTTTTCTGCGCACCCGACCGACGTGCTCCGCTGGTCGGTCCGGTGCGATAGACCGCCCACGGTGCCGTGGCTGGCAGTCGATAGTAATCGATGCATGGTTCAAGCGCAGTCACGTCTTGCAAGGTCAGAGCGTAGGTTTTCTTGTAGCTGGGCATGCCTCCCAAATGTCTGTGCTGTTTTCTCCCGGTCTGGAAGTCCTCGTCCGTGATGATGCTGCAGTCGACGATATTGGCGGCTCCGTGAATCTGGCCGTTGCAGCCCAGCCACGTCTTCCCCAGCGCCGCCGGCGCACCGCGGAGTTCCACAGTCTTCAGACGGTTCATGACCAGCTGCAACCAAGCTTCCTTCATGACCATGATTCTGTCTCCTTGTGCGGGTGTCGGACGCTGACGCCCGGAGCACGTCGTGCCGTTGCCCGCGTCGTCGCCGGTCCCTTCGCCGGCTTCGCGTACCTCTCCATCCAAGTTGGTGTGTTCGACCGCGGATGCAGGATGTCAGTCCTGGCCTCGTGGCGCCGTTTCATCTCGGAGTCTGTGTCCTGTCTAGACACTTATCGAGCCGGCATGACGTACGTGGCGAGTCCCGACCGACGGTGTTCGGCAAGTGTAACTCGCCGACCTGCCTGGACCTCGCGGCTGTCGTCGGCCAGGCTCGATGGTGCTTCTCTTGGACACGTGTCGGGAACCGTGGCCTCCGCGACGTCATCCTAGTGTTGCAGGCTTGAGCGTGTCAAAATACGAATAGTCCTGACACTTCCGTCCTTGTCCACGGCCGTCGGCAATGGAGTCTCCTCCGCGTTGTGCGCTGCTTTCTTGAAGGCGTGTGCGAGGCTGTTGGCGGCGCTCGGGAGGGTAGCCGAGCCGTTCGAGGTAGGCATGCTATCGGCGAAGCGGCAATCGGACTGGTTGTGGGCCTAGTATCTTGGCTCGAGGGCTTGAGATGCTGCGTGCACTGTGGCTTCACAGCAAGTCGTATTCTACCGTCACTCTCTTGCATAGTGTTGTCGCTGATTGCTCCGACTTGCACTGTGCTGCCTTCTCTTTTCCTGTCGGGTGCCGACTGGTCTCTGCTTCTGTGTACCGATCGAGGGGCGGGCTCTGTGCAGTGCGCCGCGCCGCACATTGCAATGATTCTGCTTGACGGAGTCACGAGCGAACATCTTCAGGAGGCCGTTTCCCCCAGTTCCACCGAGGGCAGGCCGCCGAGCCAGGAGACCATCTCGTCGTTCGGGGTCTGGGTGCAGTCGATGAGATACACAGGTACGTGGAGCAAGACCTGCTCGAAGATCGACTTCAACTTGTTTCTGCCCTGGTCGTCGTTGTGCACCTCCAGAAAGCGCACGTAGTCGCGATTGCCGCCCGGCTGCGCTATGTGGCCCCCAGAGATATTCGCCGCGTCGAAGAGTTCGCGGTACGGGTATATCCCTCCGAAAATGCTGATGGTGTAGATGGGCTCCGTGCTGTCGTCGGCCCCGACGTCCATGGTCGTCTCTTCTGCTTGTCCCGAGTCCTGGCTGTTGGTCGTCCTGGCTGCGGGCTGGCGAAGCTCCACCTGGCACAAGATGTGGCGGCGTCCTCTTGGAGGCAGTGCTGTGAAAGCTTTCGGGCCGTGCAGCGGATAGTGACTTGACTTCCAAGGCTGCGGCACGGCGTCCACCGAGTCGTCTGGACTCGCGAC